TAAACTAAAACTAAACTAACTAACTAACTAACTAACTAACTAACTAACTAACTAACTAACTAACTACTACTACTCTCTCTCTCTCTCTCTCTCTCTCTCTCTCTCTCTCTCTCTCTCTCTCTCTCTCTCTCTCTCTCTCTCTCTCTCTCTCTCTCTCTCTCTCTCTCTATGTGTGTGAACATTTTTTCAGTTGTATAAAATATTCAGAGAATATATTTTCAACATATTTTTTAATTCCTTCTGTGAGAAAAGTATAAATATATATATAAAAATACCGTTAGAAGAATTTTTCTGACAACAAAAATATTTTGTAAAAATGTTCTCACGATATATTTCCAAATGTTAAAAAAATTCTATAAACATCTTGAGGACATTCTTCATCTTACGTTTTTACTATACATATATCAAAGAATTTTACAGTATTTCAAAGAATATACAAAAAGCTCTGACAATTTGAGAAATTTAGTGGCAAGTGCTACTATATCAATCGCATCACGGTTGCAACCTTCAAACTTTTTGGCATCAAATTGATGTGGTTGCGCGCTGCTTCGTGATGATGATTCATTAGTGAAGTCATTTTATAAAAACAAAGCATACACACGAAAATTTATTTTATCAATATGCTCTGTTTAAAAAGCGCTGTTAATTATGAAAAAAAAGAACTCTTTATTTTATAAACGCCGCATTGAACGTATTTACCGGGTTAGGTAGTTTACGTAGTTTACGAGCGACAGTAGTAACAAACACAATAGCCTACGCTATATCAGACAGTAGTAAAAGGTAACTATAGAAGGGGCTCTCTATCCTATATAGACGTACACGACAGGCCACAAGCAACTTATTTCAACAGAAATTTAAGCCAAAGCTTGCTTTAACAAAAAGATCAAGTTGTAACTTTTTCCACGTCATTAAATATACAAGTTTCACAACAAATTCATTATGTTTCTTTTTGTCCCGAAAGAATATATAATAAATTTGGATTGTTATGTTTGCATTGTATATTACAAATTGTTAAATATTTGTTTTTAACCCTTTGTATTCTACTGGCGCGTTACTAAGCCGACACATAGTATTGTATATACTACAACTTTACTGATGTTTCTACAGCGACATACGTAATTCGCAACACTAACATAAATAAATAAAATTTAAATTGTAAACATCTAATTTTCAATTATCGTTGAAAGCAAAAATAATACCGACATATGATTTTGGAATAATCAATCTTGTAATGTAAAAATTAAACTCACTTTACAATACAGTACTTTTGAAATGCTCTTTAAAAGGAAATTTGATTTACTTTTCACACAAAAAAATGAATACTTGAGAGATTCAATTCTAATTGTGAATATCAGAAAAGAACTATTAAAAAGTTACCTAAAAAATATAGCTAAAAATATCATCTCTCAGGCTAAACTCCGAGCCATTTTTCACAACAATAAATTATATTTTTATTCAAATTAATTAATATTAATATTATTAATTCTGTCGACATAACTATGCAAGTCTTAAAACTAAAAGAGTCTTCGCTGTCGTTCGTAACACATTTCGCGCCTCTTAATAATTCCAAGGGTTACCAGTTGAGAACGCTGACGACGTACAGGAATAATTCCGTGCTACCTAGGTTTCATGACGGGAACATTCCGACGTCATCGATGATGATGACGACGACGACGCTGCGTACCGCATGGCAGTTACTATATATACGAAAATAGATAAAAGACTTGCGCGAAACAGGCCAGTAGCAACTAAAGCGATACAAATTGCATACAAATCTGTTTCCGTTACTTACCTCTCTCTTTTATTTCAGGCGCGATTACTAGTCGATTTTAAGAAAACAGCGTCTCGTCATTGTGTCGCGCTGGAGAGTCGCATCTCATTGCGTGGCGAAATCACGATGTTTGTGATGAAAACTACGATGACGAGTCGCGATGTTCGCAATGGAGACGATGGAGACGATGGAGACGACGACGACGACGACGACGATGACGTTCGCAATGACGATGACGATGACGTTGGCGATGACGATGACGATGACAACGGCGATGGCAACAGTGGTGATGACGACGACGACGACGATGACGATGACAACAGCGATTGTACTGACACTATCACCACTTGCTTCACGCCGAGCGCTGTGATCAACACCTCGCGCGCCTATCGATTAAGCGTAATATGACACGGTCGTTTGTTTGGAGTACAAACGCGAAGATGTTCAATGCTCCTTTGCTTCGGAGATGTTTCGTCTGCCGGACCAACGGACGTTCGAACATGGAAATATTCGGCCGCGACAGAATAAACAGGAACAACTTATGAACGGCGGAAATAACAATGAAAAAAATTGCGTTGCTGTTATTGATTGCGCACGGTTAGCGGTTGAGATAAGCAAAGAGAAAGAAGAGGAAAATGTCACGCAATCGAAGAACAATCGAGACAATCGTTCAAACACTGTACTACTACTTCTACTACAATCAGCTACCGTTAGTCGCTTCTGGTAATAGTAGAGGTGACGATACAGCCTCTACCGCTGTAACTATCGTTGGCGCCGACAGAGGTACTACTTGGACGCAAGCCAGCGGTGCGCCTGCCTCGGCGATAATCCCAAACCACCCTGTGCGCCTCGGATTGCGCGTCGTTCCTCACATCCCGTTTCAGTGACGAAGCAGCGTTTTCGGAGCGGGGGCGATTCCATGTATATATATCTATATACACCGAAAATCAATAATGCACCTTAACACATCAAGTTAAAGCAAATTTTGACAATTCAGAGCGGGCGCATAGTATCAATATTTGTACATGATTTAGAATTGTATTTGACAGTTTGATACCTTTAAATGTGTGAGGGATTAAAAATATGTAAAGTTAAAATATTATAATAATAAAAACCCATACACACAGTAAACAAATTAGTCAACAAAAATGTTGTTTTATATTTTTCACCAATAGTCGTGATCTATATGAATATTCGGACATGATGTACTCGCCTCGAAAGAGTGTTAAGGCATTATTGATTCCGTACGTGCAAGAAACGAGTACGAAACGTACACAAACTGAGAGATGTTCAATATTGATCGTCATCTACTTTTGCTTAATTACTAAATGAGAAAATTGTTTTGATTGAATAAAAGAAAAATTTATTTAAAAATGTTTTATTCTCTCCAAAAAACATGTACATCGTCCGTTCTATATCTTTGAATGCAAGTAGTTTGCATCCAAGGAGTGCTGCCCTTACATTTATACTGCAGCAATCCAGCAACCGCGATCATAACACCGTTGTCTATGCAGAATCGCTCATCCGTTGCGTAAAGAGTCGCATTCCTTTCTTTACACATGACACCCATCATTTCTTGCAGTCTTTCATTACATCCTACACCACCGACTATCAGTACCTCGTTTGATCCTATGTGAGCCATTGCGCGCTCTGCAATGTTATTTCATTTTAAGCATGCAAGCATGCAAAATACAAAATAGATTCAGTGTTCGAAGTGAAGTAATATGCGGTGATATAATGCATCCCCACTGAATTTTTAGACCAAAAAACATCACTAATTAATGGCATATTGCGCTATTCAAATTTAATAACGCTTATTATTATCTTTCACTTTGTTTGTTTTTCAATTGATTGAATTTTCAAGTCTCATAATTCGAAAATTGAGTTATGCTACACATAACATTTTCATAGACTCCAGACAATTGTTTCAAGCAATATCATACTTTATTAAACTACGAAGTATACAATGTTATTAAATTTGGAAAAATATTGATATGTTATATAATAAAATGCAATGTTCACTTTTCAGAATTAAAATTTTTTAATTTTATTATCGAGTTGTTGAATTTTTTACGGAATGTAAAGAATTAGATAAATTACTGGTACAAAGTGCTTGGTAATTTGATCTACTTTCTTTTGTTTTTTGATTCAAAAGTTATAGGGAATGTTTTTTTTTATGAGATATGCCAAGAAAAAGTCTTGTAGAAATATATTCCTATTAGTCTTTTTCTTATTTCAACCACTGAGTAGATTTGTCCAATTGGAGTTACCTGTAATTTCAATGAGCATGGCAAACACAGTCTCTTGCAAGGAGAAACACAAATCTTCAGGAGTAAAAGTTTTCGTATCGAACCATTGGAAAAGATGTTCCTCTATGTGACTTAAAATACCAGAGAATGATATGTCCATCCCTTTCACAACATATGGCAAAGGTACTAGCTTTCCACCCCTTTTTGCACAAATTTTAATTGAATTCAGCATTCACAATTCCATACATGTGATTCAAAAAATTAATATTTATCAAGAATTTTGATTCAAAATTCTTAGAATGGCAATCAAGTGTATAAATCTACTTACTTTTTTGCCAACTGTTCTATATTATATCCAGGACTGGGATCATTTGAAAGCTTCAATAGTCTTGCAAATCTATCTAGGCAATTTCCAACCGCTATGTCGATTGTCTCACCAAAAATGCGATATCTCTGTTGAGAATACGCAATAATTTGAGTATTTCCACCAGAAACGTACAAAACAATAGGATTTTCACTATTAGTGATTAAACGTCCCATCTCAATGTGACCAATGCAGTGATTGACTGCTACTATAGGTTTATTGCATAATTGAGCAATAGTTCTAGCTACTACAGCGGCAACTGTTAGAGGTGCTCCCATTCCTGGTCCTTTTGTATAACAAACAACATCTATATCTTTCAAGTTAATTTTTGCATCATCTAAGGCTTTTTGCAAAATATCTAATATAAATTTTCTATGATGTAGTGCTGTCTCTCGAGGTAGAAAACCTAAAGAAAAAATAATTTGCAGATCGCAAATTAGTGTAGATAAAAAGTTATTATTAATTGTGCGCAAACACTCATACACATTAGTGAGAATTATATAGTGATAAAAATTTGAATATATACAACGTATTGTACAAAGAAAAGATTAAAAGGCTACAAGTAAGCTCTCGGTCTCTATAAGTCTATAATAAAAGACAGAAAAATTTATTATATGTTTTTAGAGGTTATACCTTCTCCCGGTTGAGTAACATAAGTATGTCGTATATTCGATAATACTTGCTGATCACGAATTATTCCCACACCTAGTTTATTTGCACTACCCTCAAAACCGACAACAATTACCATTTTTACTTCTTCCGTCTCAATGTGATTAAATGAATACTTAAACGAATATATACGTAACATTCACCGTCAGCAATCATTCGTGATCTGTTTACAAATTACGAATAAGCTCTCCGCAAGATGGAGCAGCCTGTTTATCACTGCGAACCAATCCGATTCGCGATATGTGCCGATCGACCAATCAGCTAGATCGACGGACGGCATCACTAGCGATAAATGGAGTTTACTATCTATTCTATGTTTACACCCCTAGTAGACGATGGAGAAGAACATCTCCTGTGTGAGCTGCATTGTGAACATATCGACATCACGCGACAGTGAATCGCCGGGACACGTGCCAGAAAATGCAAGTTATCGGGCTGTCGCGTTAAAAAAGTGAGTGTCCGTCCCGCGAGATATACGCCGGGCTCCCGGCACAAAATATCAACCTGGATCGGATCATTTCGCGCGATTGCTAAATGAGCGATTGATTTTTGGTGTCGCATTGAACGCCGTCGTCGCGCGCGCGGTCAGTCGTGGGACGTTCCCATTGCGAATGTTTTCATCGGACGCGAATTAGCACGATCGCAGGTGCTAACGTGCGTGCACGCGAGAAAAGGCAACGTATCCGAATTAAAGTTGTGTGACGGCGGTATTGAGTAAGAAGTCGATGCTGAGAGGGAGAGAGAAATCTGATGCGCAAACTTGTACGCAGCAAACGGCGAGAGAGAGAGAGAAAGAGAGAGAGAGAAAGAGAGAGAGAGAGAGTGAGAGTGAAAGAGAACGTACGAGAGAGAGAGAGAAAATGGGAGCGAGAAGACGGGCTGCCGACCTTCGCTTTTACGAAGTGAAGAAGCGAAGGAGGCTGACACGAGCGAGCGCGCGCGCGCAATTCGTATCGGTTACATACGGCTTCTCTCCCCTCGGGCGAACCTCTCTCGAAGCATTTCGCCGCGACGGATGAGTCTATCGCGACGTTACCCGGGTAATGTTTTTCTCGAGCAGTGTTGCCTCGGCACGTGCAGCAGTATCGTTGTCGCGACAAAAGCTCGCGCGCGCGAGAGCTTTGACGTACGCAGCATCGTGGCGTCGTTCGAGCTACGGATGTTGCGTTAAAAAGTGATACTGTCCCCTCAGTAGGGATAGCCATCTATAGAAGAAATAACAGTTAGAATGTCGCGTCGCGAGTGACTATGAATTGACCGGCAATGTGCCACGGTTTTCGTCGTGACACTGGCAATGTGTCACGGAGGCAATGCCTACTGACGATGACGTCCATTCGCGTGATACGAGCTGTGTTCACTCGACCGTTGGCCGGCTAAATGAAGCCAAATCGGGCGCGCGGCGCACTCTATCCACCGCGAGTGTCGTTGACGCAACGTCAACTATCATAACGCGATATTCGGGCGATGCTCGAATGAGATGTGCGCTTTCGGACGCGAGAATCGCAATCGGACATCGCAACGTTCGTTTTCCGATTCGCCGACGGTGTCGTGAACGTGCACGCGCGCGGCAGCACGTGATAATCTCGAGTTTTCGGGGAACTCTGACCGGTTTGATTCGCGCGCGCACGCGAAAGGTCGGCGGCACGTATGGATCTCTGGACGTGCGGTGAGTGGCCGACGGTAAGGCATCGCATGTCGGTGATGTACGTTTCGCAGCGGAGACGTATTTATGTATATATATATATGTACATATATATATGCATACATACATATATATGTGGACTGTCGTAATTCGGATTTACGTGAGAAAAAACCCCCCAAAAAATGCACTTTAGAAAATGCTAACTTTAACGTTTCGACTCAACGACGCTTGTACCAGATTTTGTGACATGTAGAATTTTTCACACTTAGGCCAAATCGTTCCTAAGGACGAGTGCTTCTGGTATTTCCAGCGGTCTTTTGGCACGTTTGCAGCGATCGGAATATTACCCTTATGGTTGCAGCATTGTCTACTGGGAATTTACGTTATTGATATCTACACCTGTGTTTTACGCATCAAATATTTTCTGCTATATCCTTGGTCTTCCATCTTGCATTTTTACTACAAGGTAAATATTAGTTTACAACAATTTTGCTATATATATGTGCATGTGTGTTTATATGTATGTATGTATATAAGTAAGATATAAAACAACAAAATTTCTATTAGGAATGTCTTCTCGAGATTATGATAGAAGAAGAGGTGGCAGTGGTAGCGGCAGTAGTTCAAGCAGGCTACGAATGGACACGAGTGTATCTCAACCTCGACCGCATGGCGAAAGTTCTAAGCGAAAAGAAATAGACAACGTGATGCGTAAAGCACGCGAGTCACAATCAAGCTATTGGAATAAAAAATTGTTGGAAGCGGAGGAGAGAGATCCGAATAGATGGCGTCACAGCGGATACAAAGAGTTGTATGTTGGCGGTACCAGCAGTGGTGAACCCAGTAGAGGACATCCCAGAAGTCCGAAAAGCCCTAGACCTCGTAGTCCTCACAGTCCACGTCCGCGCACTCCACGAGTAAGAAGTCCGCGATCACCGCGTGAACGTTCTTCCCGCGAGCACACTAGAGGCAGACCGACTGCACGTAGCCCTAGCACAGGCAGTACATGTTCCGATAGATCGTGTTCCGTTTGTTCGCCGAAAGAACGACGACGCGTTGCACCACCATCTCGCTCACGTTCAAGATCGATCACTCCGGTTCGGGCTAGAGCACATCCAAAGGAAGTGGTAGCGTCCAGTTCGCGAGCCTTACCGCCACGTACCAGACCGCGGTCGCCACCTTTGCCACGTCCACGTACGCCACCGCCGGCACCACAGCCGCCACCGCGTCATCAGAAGGATTACAAGACTCTTAAGGAGAAAGAATCCAAGATTCGCAGAAAAGAAAAGCATCACAGCAGATTACCGGAAGATCCGCGAGTACCAGATCCCATCCCATTGGTAAAATAATGTTTAATTCCTTTACCTCTTGATTATTATTTTGTTAATTATATGGTAAGATCTATTATCTTTCACATAATCTGTTATTTAGGATATAATTATAGTCTTCCGTATTTTTTACGCATCAAGTTAGAATTCAACCTAAAAAATGCATATTACGTTAAAATTAAGAAAATCGCAATAACTCAAAAATAGCAATTTTTATCCCATCTTCTATGATATGTTTGAGGATTCCTCGTTTTATCTCTACATACCCTACATACCCTAAATACCCTAAATATCCTAAATATCCTAAATATCCTAAATATCCTAAATATCCTAAATACCTTACATATCCTACATACCCTACATACCCTAAATACCCTAAATACTCTAAATACCTTACATACCCTACATACCCTACATACCCTACATACCCTACATACCCTACATACCCTACATACCCTACATACCCTACATACTTTACTTACCCTACTTTTCTTCTTCTCCCAGTACACCTAGTTGTTTCCTCTCCATTTCTGCACTTTTATTTTGGAATTGCTTTCTCTGTGTCTTTTTATCCAAATGCTTTGCTTTTATAGTAATATTACATAGAAAATCTTTAAGATATATTGGAAATATTTTTATTTTTTAATTGTGTAGATGCGCAAACCAGTAAAAGTAGAAAAAACGCACACGAGTCATGGAGCAGCACAAATGATGCGGCCGCCCCCAGAATCCTCGCCTAGTGATGATAGCGACAGTTCCTCGACTACATCTCACGTTGGACCACCAAGAATGACATTATCCGAACGGTATTTCGTGGAATTATTACAGTATTTTTACTGTATTTTCTCTCAAGTATTAATATATATATGTATATATGTATATGACATACATATATATATATGTGTGTGTATGTATGTCATTTCAGAAAAAAAAGTTTTCCACCTATAAATTTTCGCAAAACGTATCCAATGATTTTTAAGTCAAAATTTTTCAAATTTAGCATTAGTAGATCTAATATAACAGACGCACATATTAAGAATTGTTTATCAGATTTACGTCCTATGGGCTTTTTACTCAATAATTTTTTAATTGAAATCCAATATAAAAATTTCGAAAGTCGAAGTATCACTTTTATAAAATACAAAATAAAATTTATTATATTCTGGAAATTTAATTTACACATTATATTTAAATAAAGTATCAATAATTTTTTAATTTAATTACATTTTGTTTCAATTTTTTATTTTGTTCTCGATTTAAAATAAAATAAAATTTACATTTTAATTTTTAGAATAAAGATTTTCCAAACTTGTTGAGAAAAAGCTTTCATATGTAACATCTATTTTTCGAATTTTTATTTGACACGTTGGACTCGCAATTTAGAATTGAAAAATTTTTTTTTACTATAGATTTGTATTTAGCTTCATACTTCAAAACTCTGAATATATAGTAGATATTTACGTAAATTGTTTTTTCATAGAAATCATGTTGAGTAATAAAAATTTTTATCTTTTATTATAATACTACAATAGTTAATATTATAAAAATAAAATTCAGATAAAAGCAGCAAGTTTATTTCGATATTATGAATAGTTTCTTGGAACATTGATAAATAATAATGTTTCGATATTTTTATAGATTTGGTAAAATGGCACAGTGGAGTGTGGATCGTAGAGATATGGAAAACATGCGTATCACAAAAGATGGCGAGAACGCAATGAAAGTCGTTATAGAAGGCGAGGAGAGAATTGCGCGCTTGGGTTATGATTCCCCACCTCCCGGGCATTATCCCGAGTCGCTTCTAGCGCAAGGTCCGAGAGGTTTCGAGTGTTGGGACGATGTGCGCGTACGGTATGACTATTACAAGGCGAGAGGGTATCTTCGCGACCTCACCCTCGACGATTACATCAAGTGGGAAGAATGGTGGTACAAGTATCAGGAATGGCTCGAGGCCGAGCGTTTTTACGAGCAGTGGGCTTCGTCAAACCGTCCATCTGGTGGTAGTCGCAAGAGACGAGGACGACGCAATAACACTGCTCATTAAAATTATGACAAATCTGCTACAATTTATGCTTTACTCAATAACCTACAGGATGTATCGTGTATGATATCTATACATTTAGAGTATGCAGGAAGTATGTATGTGTAAGTGCACTATATGCATCGTAATAAAAAGTATGATTGTGCGAAACGAAAAATAAAATAAATACATTAAATGATTTCAGAGATTCTATATATCTTAAAGCATCTTGTCTTTCATTGCTTTCTATACCCGATTATTTGAAGTTCATAGCAATTCTATAGTTCTATAGTATATTATATGTGTACCAAAAGCACTGTACGGTAATCGCACATTCCCGAGATTATTTTAATTGAAATAAAATAACATACATACGTGCACGCATATTCAGACTTTAAAATCAAGATTTATCTTAATATTAAAAAAAAGTAAATAATTGAAAAGAATATAACTATATACGCTGTGTTCGCCTAAACATATGAAGAAAATATATGGTTTCCAATTTTTTTCTATTAATATCAGTTCGATCCTTATGACCTTGATTCAAATTTGTATCTATATTGAAACATTGAGACTTGATTCGCTAATAAATACATTTAATATAGCAATTGTATTACATATATACGATTATTTAAAATAAATATTTTTGATTTGCGATGACTCATAAATTTGACTAATCATTTTATAATCTATCGAATAATCTATTAATGACTCAGTCACAATAGAACAGGGCTTGGAATTATTTCATCTTTTCGGCCGATTCTCGTGGTATAAGCCTCCTTTCCTCTCCTTACCGCGCGCGCGGCAGCCACTAGGGCCAGCGCTGCCGAGCGTTAGGAGCGGCGCTATCCGATAAATGTTGGGTTCTTCTCCCTTAATTATTAAAAGTTAAAAAAATTTAAAAATATTTTTTTTTTATTTTTAAAATTATTATGTGAAAATATTTCAATAGATTTTCACGTCATTCATGAGGTACTATTGCTATTGAAAAAAAAAATTTTAATATATTTTTTTAACATTAATCGGACAACGCCGCTCCTAACGCTCGGCGGCGCTGGCCCTAGCGGCTGCCGCGCGCGCGGTAAAGAAAGGAAAGGAGGCATATACCACGAGAATCGGCCGAAAAGATGAAATAATTCCGAGCCCTGCAATAGAACTTGGCGCAATCTTCGATGAGTGAATTTAACAATACTAACACATGACTAGATCAAGATTTTCAACTCATAATTCTGCGATATTGCATACATGAGAAATTGTCATTTTTAAGTATTGCTTCTATTAGTAAAATTTAAACTTCAAGTAATGCTCGTGCTTATGATAAAATTTAAACTTTGTAAAAAATTACAATATAAATATATACAACATAAATATAATAAAATATTACAAGAAGCTATTATATTATAGCCGAACACACACACACACACATACACACACACACACACACACACGCGCGCGCGCGCGCATACACATGTGTTTATATATTCTTTCAATAACGTTCTTAAGCTCCTAAAGAATGTATCTGTTTAATGCCGAAATTTCTCTTGCGCTTTATACAAATGATTATACGCATGACAAATATATACAGCAAGGCACTATTCAAAATACGAGCATAAAACACAGAACACATTAACACTTAATAATTTAGCAAATAATTTGCCAATATACATCCCTTCACGATTAGATCTTGGATAATAAATATATTTTAAATACAATTAAAAAAATGTATTAATTAAACATTTTGTAATTGATGTAAGTAAAAAAGCGGAAAAAGTTGCAGTCTCTTGCATAAATCAATCGATAACATATTCAATCGACACTTGGTTCGTGAAAAAAATATTGGTTTGCGGTATATCGACACAGTACAGAATTGTGGTGAAGAAATGAATAGAATCGAAATGCAATAACGCATCAGATGCGAGATATAAACAAAAATCATACAATGATTAAACATTTCCACGTAGTAAGTTAAACATTACAGAATCCATCTTTATAACTTGTACTTTCGACGTCAATCCTTTCGTCGAGTCCGCATCGTACGAGGACCAATAACTTATCAATTCTGGAAATTCATCATTGTTAATATATTCGACTGCGATAGAGCTAAACTGCTTCCGCAAATTTAAATTTGGCTGACAATCAAGCCCGTGACACAATTGCACAACATCACTTTGACTAGCATTAATAGTTTGAACATCCGTATAGTTGACAAAAACTATTAAAACTCTCTCTACGAGTCTCCGCTCCGTAACAGTCGTTTTTTCCATATGACCAGATAACGAATCTATCCATTGCCAAAATTTAATTGCAAACCCGGAAGTATAAGGTTTACCGGAGGTTATTAAAAATGCCGGCTTCGACGCAAATGCGTTTGAACTCACATGATCCCAAATGGTTATCGGTTCGTTTGTTATTTTTTGCAGAGTTAAATTTACACTGGCGCGACAAAATTGTCCCGGACATATTCCTTCGTTTTCTATAGTCAAACGATGATAAGGCGTAGGCTTCCAACTATATTCTTCTTCGTAGAATTTTACCATTTCGAACAATCGTGGTAACGATGCTAATTCAGTCGCAGAGTCTTTACGCACTCGTAGCGTTTTTAAGATGCGAAACAATTCGTTCAAAGACATGAATCTCGTTACATCTGCAACAAGTAAACATTTGTAACATTACTGCGACATTATTGTTTCATTTCTTGGAAACTAGGAGAATCATTTATACGATACATACACTTTGCATCGCCATCGTAACAACTATAGGATATGCTGCCATTAGAGACAAGATTGTATATATCAACAGAGGTGCAATTATGAATCGAATAACGTCCCAACAATTGACCAGTTTTCCCCGATAAAAAAACAAGAGACGATACATTTGCATTATCCATTGTTACGCTCAACAAGTCTTCGATATTATCGGCATCAATGTCCGGTAAAATAACTGGTAATTTAGAAAAAGTGTGACTCGTAGAACTCCAATGAATCGTTCCAGCAATTGGTTCTATGCTAACGAGCAGGCCTTGTTCACCAGTGACAATGCAATCAGGCTTTCCAGATCGATCAATGTCTATACTAGTGCAATCTACATTAGTAGGGAATCTTTTCAACGGAACTAGCCACAGTGGCAATCCACTATTTCCTTGCATCGACATAACTCCTCCTCCTTCCGAAGGTATTTGTCTTTGATGCATCGCTTTATCATTTGTATCATTCTTTCCGAGATGTTCACCACGAAGAAGAAATATTAGATTGTACGGAGATGCAGGTATTATAGTAATAGGCCCATGTATTTCTGTAATTTTTTAAATCAATACATTTCAATTACTCGATTGAAAATTAAAACAACAATTGTAATATATATATATATAATAAATCATTTAATGAAATAATTATCGCTGTCAAATAAAATATAGTACAAATAATTTATCTATTTTATACAGTTATCAGTTTCATTCAAAAGTAAGAACAGAGAATATTTACAATACGTGTGGCTTATAATATCGAACTTACCTATACCTTGCAGAGACTTATCCCATGACACAGATGATTGCGGTTCGATAATCGATGGACAAACCATTGAATTGTCACAAGGTAATACATACAAAAAAATAATTATCGTAACAATGCATAATAATACAGAGGCAAGTAAACAAAAGCGTCTTATGTAAGACATATTTCTTCTTTTCCAAAAGTCATCATGTTGGTTCTCTTCAATTACCATTATCGGTATATCATCCTGGTAATATTTAATCGTGTTTTGTCTATTTCTCGCGTTATTTCCTACATTTCTCGTTTCATCCAGTGGATAAAACATGCCATTTTCATGATTCGAATGTAACTCCTAAAAAGAAACAGATAATTACGTATTATTATGACAAATATATAAACAATCTATGAGACGGCATCAGTGATACGAATTTACAAGAAACCATTCATTCGATACTTTTAAAGGTTACAATTTATGCAAACACAATACGTGTAATTTTGTGAATACTTCTATCGTATTGATTATATACTAATGTCTCACCGCTACTATTGTGTTATTATCAATCCGGGGTACATAGGCGATATCATTAGATTGCGTTAAGTGTTCCTCTTCATCCTCTGTATCGGTATTGCTTATACTTTGTGGAAGAGGAGCGTAACCTTTACCACTGTGATGATCGGCCGACATATCAATGTGGCATCGAATAAATATCACACTTGCAATGTAACAGTATTTCTTCCTACAACTGCGTCATAATTATTATTATTATTATTGTTATTATCACAGTACTACAATTAGTCAAAAATACGAACTATGCTATGTACTTTTGTAGTATTAGGCCACAGTGACAATAACGCAACTATCCATTAACAACAACAACTCAAAGAGGGTGCAACATTTCAACCATAGACGTAGCAAGTACAGACTGCTCGTTTCCTATCTCTAAGGCCGGATCTACAATAGATGTAGTAAGCTTTAAGCCGTAAGGTCCTATCCAGACAAACTTGCATAGTCGCATAAACATATGCATAAGGAAATTGATTGGTCCATAAGCAAATGCATAAGAAATGGACCAAATGCTCAATTTCAATAGAATTGCTATCTCTTTTCAACTCAACTAGAAGTATATGTGTGACAGAGAAAAGGATTCTATTTAAAGTCTTTTTACTCTTAATAAATTCTCTCGACACTCTGCGAACGTCACGAGCAGTTTACACTTACTACGTCTATGGGCTTGTTCGTTTTAGTTGCACTGGGGCAGCTCTGGGTCTGCTCTAAACAAGATAATACAGGACAAACTATTTATCTGTCCTGTATTATCCTGTGTAGAGCAGAACCAGAGCAGCCCCAGTGTAGCTAAAACGAATAAGCCCTATGATTTCAACCCACGGACTAAGGAATAGAGGGACCGAGTCTAAAGTCCTAGTTTAGGCGAGAGGGGATGGTAATTCAAGCGTGCGGGGGGGACTGTTTTCCGCCATATTGATGTAGCGATTCTCACACAGAGATTCTGTGTCTGTGACATGGTTACACTTGTGTGTGGTGCCACTAGACATAACGAGTGACAAGCGTAAAGAAGTTAGGCGGTTTTATTATTGTTGTACTACAAATTTTATAAAATACTTTAACTTTTATTACTCTGAGGCTCTGCATACAGTAGACAAAATATTAGAAATAGCAATAAACATTTAATATTAAAAAGAGAAATTATTTTACACCTAACAAGAGAATAAAATATATTAATTAGTTCCAATTCTTATTTCTTAATTCATGCATTAATTTTTTCTATTTTTTTTATTTTTAAAATAAATAATTCCAATTTCTTATTTCTAATATTTAATAATTATTCCTATTTCTATTTGCTATTTTGTTTATTGTGCGCAGGATCTGACTTTCATTTCTCACACATACGCAAATAGTGAGTTCTATGGGCGGTATTCATAGTCCGTTCTTATATTCAAGATCGTCTTAAGAACGAACTTATATTCGCTCTCTTCGTCAGACACAATCTATGTGTGACGAAGAGAGCGAATATAAGTCCGTGCTTAAGACGATTTTAAATATAAGAACGGACTATGAATACCGCCCTATGTGTGGTGATTACTAAACGAATATGGCGGCCCCCCCCATCGCTAACGTGCTCACCCGGTACAGCTTGTGCTCCGTCCCTCTATTCCTTAGTCCGTGTTTCAACCGATCACTCAGGGCTTCGGTTACCTTCGAACGAAAGAACAAAGCAGACTATTTCTTCTCTTCTCTTTCTTTCTGAACTTAACTTTACTTAGGATGTTTACGATAATTCAAGTTCGAGTTAGTTTCACTAGGACCGAAAAATGAGATAGACATAACCATCTAGAACCTTTATGATTCATGACAACTCGACGCTGTCTTGTATTGCTTGAGTTAAATTAATTGAATTTGTCGAGTTTATTGAGCAAATTTTATTGTAATAGAAAAATGTTAACTGCAAATCAGTCTATGAAAGAAACAAATAATGTTGGTATGTATGTTGGTATACCTCTTTAATAAATTAATAATAATATAATTAATAATAATAATAAATGACATTTTTCTATTACAATAAAATTTGCTCAATAAACTCAATAAATTCAATGAATTTAACTCAAGCAATACAAGACAGCGTCGAGTTGTCATGAATCATAAAGGTTCTAGATGGTTATGTCTATCTCATTTTTCGGCCCTCGTGAAACAAACTTGAACTTGAATTATCGTAAACACCCGTTATATCACATTCGCCCATCTGTAATATTTATGACCACGGTTCGTGAAACGCGCGCGCGATATTTCGTTGATTCGTGCCGCTGTATCGATGCTTCGTCCGCGTATCGTCTTAGGGTTGGCAATTCTTCTCTTTTCATCCATCTTCTCGCGCCTAGAAGTGCTCCCGCGTTCTCGCAAAAGAAAAAATAACAAATTCCTTTCCGCAATAATGTTCGACATCATATCACACATCGCGACACTAATCGTACAACGCTGCGCATTACATCGCTGCGAGTGATGTATCACGCTAAAAAAAAAATACATTACTCGTAGTCATGTATCGCGCTACACACAGAAAGACCTGAGAATCGCTATAAGGAGAGCTAAATCTAATGCTTGGAAAGATCTCCAGGCTACGATAGACAACGATCCATGGGGAAGACCATTTCGAATAGTCACGAGGAAAATGAGACCTCAAGATATGTCTGTAGTGTCAACATTGCCATCAACAGCTATAGAGGAAATACTCACGGTACTTTTCCCACGAGGAGTGAAAGGCAGAGAATACTCTGAGGAACATATTGTCTGGTGTTCGGACTGGGACGTACAGGAATCCGAAATTAAAGCTGCCCTGAAAAAAATCCAGGGTAACAAAGTCCCTGACCCGAGGGGAATACTTGGCTCGGTTATGACTGGTACGTCTATGCTCTTGCTCTCCGATTGGGCGAGGTGCTTCACCTCATGCTTAAAGGAGGGCTCCTTCACGGAAAACTGGAAGGTTGCAAATATTGTCCTGATTAGGAAAAAAGAGGGTAAAACGAACGATCCGGCTTGCTTCCGCCCTATATGCTTATTAGATGAGCCTGGGAAGCTCTTGGAGAGAGTAATTGTGGAAAGAATACATACTCACCTAGAAGACACCGATGGACTCTCCAACGAGCAATATGGCTTCCGCCAGGGTAGATCCACGATTGACGCCATACGCAGACTACGATCTTACGTTCAGGAGCAAAGGAGTCAAAGATTAATGGTCATGGCAGTAGGATTGGACATTGCAAACGCGTTCAATTCTCTGCCATGGAACACCATCCTGAAAGCAATGCGGAGAAAACAGTTTCCCGATTATCTATTGCGAATAGTCAGACTATTTAAACAACAGGTAAATAATCTATATCGACCGGAGTGGTGGGAAGGTTAAAAGGGAAATCACTAGAGGAGTCCCTCAAGGATCAGTCCTGGGTCCCACCCTCTGGAATATAGGGTTATGGAATTTGAGCAAGTATAAATTATCGACGAAAAAGTGGGCAGGTACGTCGATAGATCTCGACGAGAGAAGCAACTTTTGTCCTATGAACATATAGGCGGCAACGCTTGGTTTAGGCCCACGGGCCCCCGAAAAGTTTGGATCATCGATTTTCAAAATTTGGTAACTCGGAAATTATGGGAGATGGAAGATCGGACCTTAGGGCCTCAATCGGAGGGCATCGAAAGGTGTTTCGAACGCACCCAGCCGTTTGCCAAAATTGTTAAATTTTTGAAATTTTTTTTTTGTTTTTTCCTTATATCTCAGCGGGGGTTGGTCGCACGGCTTCGGGACTAGTGCCATTCGACGTAACTCGACCCTTTCCCATATAATCCTTTATACGAGCTTCTATCTCGAAGAATTTTCGAGAAAAATTGAAAAAAAAAATTTTTTTTGTCATCGATTCAGGTCGACGTAAACACATTACTACAATACATCCGTTCAGGTCCGAGGTCGATAGGACGATTTTTTAAAAATTTGAGTCACCTACTGTGGAACTTCGAATTTTTTCGATTTTTTTTTTTTTTTTTAAGGGGGTATTTCCACGTGTTCAGCGCTTCGAGAAACGTCATTTGGACCCTCAAATTTTGGTTTTTTTTTTTGTAGGGGATTGTCGGGGGAAGCGAAGTCCCCTGGGGGGAGGGTTGGGGGGGTGAAGCCCCCCTATTAAAAAAATCACGGGAGGTAAGTTTGGTCGCAGGACGGGGAGGGGGTGCGGGGGGAGGAGCGGAGCCCCTCTCCCGCCTATGTCTCTGTGATTGGCAATTTTTACAATTATAATTTTACATTCAGTGTTTTCAGTTTGCAATTCAAATACTTTTTCATCAAGTTTTGCACCTCTTGAAAATAAGCAAAATGGAGAGTGCGAAAAAATCCTTAACTACGACTGCCTGTGCGGAAACAGTGGTTTATGGACAAAATACAAGAAAGTTTCGTTTTACCTTTTGCATTCGGTGTTGTCTCAACAACTCGGTGCGCTCTTAGATCCCTGGGAAAGATTTCCAGGGAAGCTCTTCCACCACGGCAAGGTGGCGCACCACGGAAGAGGTTTTTTTGTTATTTTTTTGTTTTGTTTTTTAAAGTTTTTTTTAAGTTTTTTTTGTTTTTTGTTTTTCGTTTTTTTGTTATTTTTAATTTTTTTAATGTGTTTAATGTGTGTTAATATAATGTGGTTAATATGTTT